TTTTTCAACATATTTCCGTCTTCTTCGAATACGATCTTAAAATTGTTTTAGGCAATACTCAAAACATCGATTCCGAATTATGGAACTGTTTTTTAAAAAAATAACTAATTTTGTAAAATAACCATTATTCCATCTCCTCACGATCTTATTTTAGATATATTTTACTTCCAAGGTTTTCTGCTAACATTCCACCTTGCTCTAAGATCTTCCGGTTTCAAATACCGGTAAGAATGAGCGGAGTATACGTAAGAGCTCTTTTATCCTACAACTCGATTTTTGATCTCAAAACGATGTTTATCTGCTTTAATGAGTTCACCTTGTGAATTTCTTTCCCCAAGTTAAATGGCCGAAGCTAATTTTAAAAATATTTTCGTACTTTCGGACAAATTTAAAAAAATACATGATCTTGACTACGGGTGGTATGCCCATGACATACCAGCCCTGAAGAAGGCCACGACAAGATGGTCGAAACGTCGGCAACACAGCTTCGACGCGGCGTCACCCGGACAACCAAGATCATGCACATGACTATGGCTGCGGAAGCCTACGACTTGAAATTTAAAAAAGGTGCTAAAATAGCGGGCTGGCGAGGCGCATTTTGATTCCAATGCCGTAACAAGCATTGGAATAAGATTTTATGACTCATGACTTATCCCAGCTTACTTGGTAAGTTATTTTGATATAAAATAAATTTGTCATATTTGTTTAACTGTGAAGGGAATAAATAATTTCTGGTGCGTCATTTCGTACAGACTACGTAAATGAATAAAGTGTAATGATGCAATTGGACAACTCCTAGAGGTTTGTTTACATTTGGAGCGTGTTTTCTCTTCCATTTCTTTGTTTTATAAAATGTGTATTTTCTAGAAAAAGTTATCTGTAGAAATTTCAGTATGCAAAACCAGTTGCACTTGACTCTTTCATGACGTATCGGCCACAAAGATATAAATAATATGGAAACTTCAAACGAGTTTAAAAACCAAGGAAATCTATTTCTGTATGATCTTAGGATATGCTCTACGCTAACGCTTACGCGACGTAATGTAATCTACACAACTTTCCACAGGAGATAGGAAATGATGTTTCTTTCAATGTGAATTGTTTTTGAAAATCTTAAAGCATATGCTTACCTCAACAACATTTTAAAAATCTTTTTCCGAGGGATGACTTTTTCCGATTGACTGAATCACACGGTATTCATGGAATTGTGTTGTTATTTACACAATCTCGGCTGTCTACTTTCTTTGGTAATGGAATAATTATAGTGCGTTGCAAATCTGCTGTTCACTATTTCTTTTCCAGATCACATTGCATAATTGTGTTGGTTTTGCCAAGATTTCTTCTCCTGTATCTTTGAATAGTTCGATTTGAATATTATCTACAGGCGGGGGCTTCCCATTATTCAGTGGTTTTGTTGCCCAATGCGTTTCTTCTATCTCAAGTTCTTATTCGTAATCATCTATATCGTATTACTACTATATTTGTAAATTGTTCTCATATACCCTTTTCATGTATTCTTCCCATCTTTTCGTGATCTCTTCTTTTGTTGTATTTATTTTGTCGTTCACGTTCTTAACATTCGCCATTGTTGGTTTACACTCCGTGATCATATTTCGGATGACCTGGAAAATTTCTTAAGATCTTCATTTGTTGTTATGTTCTTCCACTTCTTCGCTTTTTTCTTGAATACATTTTTCTTTATATTATCTTGGTCAGGCTGGAAAACCCTGCAGATTTTTCTGATTTTCGTCTGGTCATTTGTTTTCTTTGCATAGAAGCGTAAAGTATATTCGACGATCATACTCACAGAAAAAAAAATCCTTTGTTTTTAAGCTCGTTTGAATGTTCCATATTATTTATACCATTGTGGCCGATTAATAGAGACATGTCAAACTGGTTTTACATACTGCAGATAAATTACATACTACAGATAGATACTACATAAAACTTTTTATTATGGAAAGTCACTTTTTCTGAAAACAAAGAAAATGAAAGAAAAACATGTTCCAAATTTAGAGTTTATCCAATTACATCATTACTCCTTATTCATTTACGTAGTCTCTACGAAATGGACGCACCGGAATTATTTATTCCCGTAAAACTTATACAGATATAACATATTTATTTATATATCAATATAACTACCAAGTAAGCTGGGATGATTCATATCGTATTTCGATGCTTGTTACGGAGTTGGGGTCAGGATGCAGCTCGCCAGCGCGCTATTTTACCACCTTTTTAAAATTGTCCGAAAGTACGAAAACGTTTTTAAAAATAGCTTCGGCTATTTTACGCGGGAAGAGAGATTCACCAGATAATCTCTGTAAAGCATATAAACGCTGTTTTGAGATAAAAAATCGAGTTGTAGGATAAAAGAGCTCATGCGTATACTCCGCTCATTCTTTCCGGTATTTGAAACCGGAAGATCTTAGAGCAAGGTGGAATGTTAGCAGAAAACCTTGGAAGTAAAATATATCTAAAATAAGATGTGAGAAGATGGACTAATGGTGATATTTACAGAATTAGTTCAATTGTTTAAAAACCAGTTCCAAATAGGAATCGATATTTTGACTAATGTCTCAAACAATTTTAATATGGTATTCAAAGGAAGACGGAAATATGTGAAAAAGATAGTTATGTACTACTATTACAGACCGTTCACGTCGGTCTGTAATAGCAGTATAGCATCTCTAGTTTGGTATCTGTGGAAAAGTAGATTGAGATGCAAAGTGACGAAAGCATAAACCGACCGTCTGGCTCACGAATCCCGCAACTGCTCCGCCGGGGCTGGCCGCACGCCGCCTGGCCTGGTCGCGCCGACAGAGGGCCCACAACAATCGGGTGGGTGACGCAACGGCGCAGAAGGGAAGGGGGGGAGGCGTTTTCGTAAATTTCACTTTACGACGCTTCTATTCATTCGATTTGCATGATTGTCACGGCGTTGGATTCAGACAAGCATGTCGCCATCGCTTATAAGCTACATTTTTTTAAATTTTTTCCTTCGAAGTTTGAGAACTAATTTCAAATGTTGAATTTTTGCTAGAATTTTTGAAAAGGGCATCTAGCGTGAATTCTATTTTAAAAAAGCGTCAAAATGCCCGTTTACCAGATGAAATCGGACCATTAGGTTCATGAACGTTATCGGTAAAGTAAATTTTACTTATTTTGGTGCTGCGACTGGTGGCCCAATTAATTGTACTTAGTGTCGGTACGATTATCACTTTGTAAATGAATGTTATATGAAAGGAAGGAATAGATGTACTCAACGTAGTTTCGAATAATGTAGCTGACATTTAAACTAGATCGTTAAGTAAAGACACGTTTGTGAAAATTCGAGAAATGTTAAATGTAATCGGATAAGTGTGGGTATAGAGAAAGATATTATGAGTATTGTAATATAAATGTAATGAGGCGTGTTGGAATATTAACGTACATTTATGTTAGAGAAATTGTATTTACTGACATCTATAGGATTACTATGTAACTAGTGACTGTATGTATATAAGTGTACGCATGATGCGCATTCGATTATTCTTGTCCTGAAGAGTGAGCTGTACGGATACATATCGTCGCTGTGAAATCAAACCGGCATATCTGCAAAATGCATATTTTTCACCAGAGCGTTATAAAGTTTTCGCATGTGATATTTTCCTTGTAACGTCCGTTTGGTTCACCTCAAAGCCACCTTATGCATAAACAAAATTTGGATGTATTCTGCGTATTGATGTAGTAGTTGCAAATAAATCGAAAAGTGTTTAAATTAAGAGAAATATGCAGATATGCTAATATGACTTAAAATCAGGGTAATGTTTGCTTTTGTGTCACAGTAGCTTCTTCAGTTAGAAGCTTTTTTTAAGTAGAAAAAAGATAAATTTGTCAATGAAAAATTAATTTATTGCTTCACAATTTGTTATATAATTAACAAAATATTGCTTATCCCTTTGCTGGTAACTTCACAGTTTTACAAATTTTTATAGAAATATGAATGAATTGATGGTATTATCCCATCGGTAACCAACTTTAGGATACCCTTTGTCTTCGCATCATTGTTAAGTCTCTCGAAATAAGCTTGCATCAGAACAGGATTCACGTTCTTATTGCCCCGCTTTTTTTCTTTTCTTCGCCTCCTCCCAGACATGTGATCCGTAGGATGTTTTAAGTATAAGTTGTCGTCGTCTTTAATTACTATCAACATTCGAATGTCCAACATGGGTAAAATTACTTGGGAGTCTTTCAGAGCTTCTATGTCAAAAACGTCCTCATGACTCAATTCATGAACCAGGTAAGGTTTGCCACTTTTCTTTGCCGTTTTCATGGCCATGGCATACTGGGAAGGTAAGTATATCGGTCCGCTTCGGAGTGCTGTTTTAACTTCTCTTTCAATGGTTGAGTGAACCAAATCGCCCTTGTTTTGGGTGTGGCCCTTTACAAAAATTAGTGTGATTGATTTTGTTTTGTAATGTTGTAAAAGCACATTTGTACATTGCCAGCATAAAGTAATTTTTGGTTGTCCACAACAATTTTCGCTGTAAAAGACATCTATTGGACAGTCAGCTTTGTCATTTAAATGTTGCAGACATTTCAGCACACAGCTCCCGATCTCAATCACGCCTCTTCATCCCTGTCTCTCATCCCACGTGTCAGTTTACAGTTTTGTCGCCCTTTCAGTTCAGCAATTGTTAAATTGTAAACGGCTAGCTTTGAAATGTAGTAGTGGGAAGACGCCTCCCCCTGCGGACATAATATCACTGCCTGTAGGTCGTATACTGCTACGACGGTTGAATCGGTGGTTTTTTTGTTATTCTCCTTCTCCAGTCTGGACAAGTCCTTTTCAAGAATATGATTCACATATTCTGTCGTATTATGTTTCGTGTTTTGGTAAATGAGACAAACAGCACACTGATCTTTCTTTGGTGTGAAAAACGAAAGGTTGTATGACTTGAAAATAGCTTTGTACTGGCAATAGCTTATTCCTGCAAGGTTTGACTCCTTTCTTTCATTTAGTCTCTGTGAAGTTCGGCGATAGATTTTCCACCATCGATATACTCCCGAGAACTTTGAAATCTACAATAATGACTAGGAATTCTGGGAATTTTTTCTATGTGAACCTTTGCACTCTTCACGAGTTCTTCATCCAAGTTTCGACCCTTTCCATGCTTGCCACTCATTTCCAAGCTTAGCACACCTGTGCTTTTGTCTGTTTTTTCAAAGGTTGTACGATTAGCTCTGTCCGATAGGCCAAAAGTGTTTTTAAAAAACTGTTTGCATACCCGTATTTTTTCTCCATCTTTCGTTATTGAGTATGCTTGATTAGAACCCCTTTCCCTTTTACGGTCCAATGTAATCCTCTGATACTTGGGAACAACTGCCTGTGTGCTATCTTTTATGATTTCTCTTTGTCTTTGCAAGTCTCCCATTGCCCAAAACATTGCAAATATCTCTTTCAGAGAGTTCTCATCGATTTTCTCAGTGCACTTGAGTTTACAATTGTGGCAAGGAGGCTTCATGCTTCGTTTGTTTACTCTTCCTCGAGTTTTAGAGTCGTATTCCTCACCGCAGTTTCGCATCTGCTTTGCTAAAATTCTTTTATTAAATTTGCCTCTTTACCTCTTTCTTGTAGATGGTTCGTTTGCATTTTCGATTTCAATCCCAGTCTCAGGTTTATCTGTACTTTCACTGTCAATTTCGGAGCCAAAATTTACAGTATTATAATCGGGGTCGACTTCATCGGAATTATGAAACGGGTCTTGGTCTTCCGTGTCAGTAGTGTCTGTGTTAATATTGTTGTTAACTCTGTAGCTTTCAGTCGTCAATAATTGACCCGTAACAATATCGTTAGCCAAACCGGACTTCTGAACTTCCCGTGCCATTTGCTCTATTGAAACTTCTACCGGATCTACCGCAGTTAAGTCAGTCATCCTTGGTGCAGTAACTTCACATTCTAAAATTGAAACAAATATATCTATTAGCCACCAATAATTATGCAAACGCTGAACAGTATTGATATAAAATATATAAATCAAAATGGCAATAGTCTGAACTTATCAGTCGAAAGGGAAATGTGGTTTTCAGTCTCTTCTTGTATACGAGTAGGTTCACATTCCACCCACTCATTAGAGGGCGCTTGTAGTTCAGTCAAATCTGTCTTGCTAGTTTTTGGAACATTTTTAGTAGCGCTTTCAGTATTCATAAATGTTGGAAGCAACGGATCAGGCAGCTTCTTAACACAAGCTTTTTCATCCATTAACCCTATAGGATCTTCTATTGTATCTATATTAGTCAGATCAGCGTTCGTTGATGCAGTAACTTTGCATCCTAAAAAATATATTATAGATATATGCTATTATAATTCTATTATGGGGTAAAGTTTGAAAATGATGAGCAATGTGCGATTGAGTTCATCCTATATTAGTATTGACTACACCAATGCTTGTAACCAACAGCATTGATTTATTTTAATCAAATGACAAAACCTAAACTTACCAGCAGGAGCGGAAAACTAGTTTTCACTCTCTAATTGTATAACTATCTTGCTGGTTTCAGGAACATCTCCAGTACTACGTTCTAAATTGACTCGTGTCGGAGGCAAAGCATCTAGCGCAATCCCTTGCCACCGCCTTTCACTGTTTACCGCAAGTTTTAATAGAAAACCTGTACGCCTTTTCCTTCAACAAACGTTAAAAGTATGTGGTAGTTTAAGTATCTACCTACAAGGGTGGATTTTGAGCCTTGTAAACCGTAAAATATCTTGCCAAACGATATGCTAGAATAAAATAAACAGGCATATCTTCAAAAAGATAACATGAAACTTTGTTTGGATACAATTCAAACTGAAATATTGCAACATGTTTCGGATTTAATTAACAGTATGCTTTATTCACCAGGAAAAAAGTTCCCCGGAAACAGACATTTTGACATATATGCCGATTTGTTTCAGTTGAGGCTGTTATCAACGCAATGATGTTAAGTGCAAACCGGATTATCTGCCAAGTCGTATCTGGATAATAGTAAGAACCTTCTATTGTGAGATAATTCAGCTTTACTTACATGATGGACGTCTTTCCTCCCTGCAGGTTTAGAAGCGACTGGCGTACTACACAATAGATGTCTTTTGTTAAACAAAAAGGCTATTCCCGCGTAAATGCATACCGGTCCAACGCCATCTGACGGATTTTTATTCAACTATACGACATGCCGGTTCGACATAAAAGTAGACGGGAAAAAAATTTTTTTTGGCACAAACAACTCAAAAACTCAGTTTTTGCATTTATGACGGTTTGATTTCACAGCGACAATATGTATGCACACATCAATAAACAGTTTGTAAGTCCACGTGTTATTTTATTTAACAATATTTTAGTATCAATCCAATAAGAATCAAGGATACAACAAATTGGCGACGAGGTCAAGAAAATAAATGGAAATTGAAACAAATTCAATTCGACCATGATAATCGAAGAAAATATCTACACTAAAGGCGACAAGAACTTGACCTCAACTCCATAAGCGTGCACATGATCTCGGGAAACAATCACTTACAATATTTCGAGAGCTGACAAATTTCAATATTTTTTTTTATTTCGAGCAATTTTTAATAGGGGAAGTATACGTTACATTGCCAACAAGTGGTGACGTGGGTGGATCGAGTAGCTCGCATCACTGCTTGAAGGTAATAAAATCAACTTAATTCAACAACAGACAGCACAATGGATGCGACAATTTTCTGAATTTATGAAATTTCAACAGCAAATGCTCGAGAAAATATTAGATATAAACACTGATCAACCAGTGAGAATTAATCACGAAATATTGGTAAATACTGCTCTTTTGCCAAATTTTGAATATTTCAGTCCAACAAGAGAATCGTTTCGAAAATTATTTAGAAATGAAGAATATAATAAATAACGAAGATTGCTGTGCAAAGTTACTTTTACATTCAATCGGGGCAAAATATTTCAACATGACATCAGCATTGTCAGCACCAAAAATGCGAAAAGAACAAACATACGATGAATTAATCAAACTTTTAGAAAAACATTTAGCACCAGAAAAGAACGTTCTTGTGACCCAGCATCAATTTTTATCAAAATATCAATCTGATAATCAATCTATTGCATAATTCGTCGCAAACTTGAAAGCGGACATCGGAGATTATCATTCTATTTCAGAATGTTCATGCGAAACTTCCGTTGCTGACATTTTTCTTCGAGCACATTTTATTCGAGGAATAAAGGACTTTATCAGGGTGCAATTGCTACAATAGGAAACGAAAAGTTTTGAAGATATTGTGACTAAAGCAATAACCCTTGAAGCCTCAAAAATCAACTCAAAGGATCTCTGCATTGACATCAACAGCAAATATAAATGAAGTCAATATTTCGAAGAAAAATAACCATGCAAAACGTGAACATGACCAACATCAACGCAGCCATCGCGCAAGTTTGAGTAAAGGGGAATCAAGAATTGACTACCCTAAATTGGGCACCGATGAACTGTGTTTGAGGTGCGGAAGAAATAATCACCTTGCAAACGATTGTCGGACAAATAATTCAACTCTCAAATGAGTGCAAGAAAACCGGTCATATTTCTAAGGTATGTATCCGATCCTTACTAGATCGAAAATCAAAACAAACTCATTCGGTACAGGAAGAACCGGCTATTTCCATTCAACTGGATACAATACCCAAAGAATATGGAGCATTTCAAATTGCAGACATTACCAAAATCAACCTTTACGGTCTCGTTACGCGAGAACTAGACGGTAAAATAGATTCAAACTACCAGAATATAGAAGAACCTCTCATCTTTCGATAAATACAATACAAAATACATGTTACACATAACAATTATCTTGCGCTAACCACCTTAACTCAAGCACTGGCAGGTACAATTGACTACAATATAAGAACATTAATGTAATAATTTGAAATTATCACATATCCCCAATCGAGTAAATTCAAGTAATACCTTCTCCAGATCACAGTGAAACGCAAAAGGAGTTTTACCAGGCTTTCCTGTCTTGTAATCCATTATAATGTTTGTCAGCGTTGAGTAAGATCTGTGCCATTAATAATTTACTTCAATAAAATCATGATTCAAATATACATGTTTATTGTAAAGACTAATTCTTGTGGCATCCAGTAAAAATATAATGATGGTGACATTAGTTAATTATAGCAGCTTATCCCACTATTTCAGCTACTTTCACAATGATAGAAGCTCTTGGGTAGTTTCACTTCTTTACGAGAATTTTTCTCGCTTTTGTATTTATATACACTATACACACCTGCCATTCACCATTTGTCACCTCTTCTGCTTCACTGGGGAGTTGTTTCTTGTATTACAAGATAAATGTAACAATATCAAGCACAAAACAGTAAGTTCCGTTAGGGGACAATCGCGCACTGGAAACACAATGAAAACGTTTTTAAATATGCAAGTGCAGTGTCCTCACTCGCATAACATCTCAAACTCGTGTTTTGCCGCTCAAATGATTGAAGTTGGCACACCTATAGTTAGCACGAAGGCCAATCTCCAGTGGAGAAAGAGTCCCTGGCTGCAATACTTCCATTGCATGCGGGATTTATGTTGGGGTTGGCCCCTACTTCATCCAACTTAAATTGTAATCAGAAGTTCCTAAGTAGTAAGTACTTCTAAGTAAACTCAATATAGTAAGTACGGCAGGTGGTTTACGGGAGGTTGGTATTACAGGTCACATCTTAGGCAGACTTTTGGTGCTTGTTTGCTTGACCAGGCTAGACAGACGAAGTCGCGTCCTTATTCAAATTTCGTACAGAAGCTAATCAGAGTTCAGAACGACGCCATATACATCTGTACAACACTACCTCGCTCTAGCGGTGAATCGTTGAACTACTCATTTTGAAATTTCTCTGCGTGTAATCAGTTGATTACCGTTGGTATTCTTCCTGGACGAACGAACGGCGTTGCGCTCATGTGCTCTGTGTGGCGCCGTTAAAGGGATTTAGCGGCCAGTGAATTCGAGAAATTTTGATGTTTAAAACAGCCTATAAAGTTAAGTAATTTTATTGTTCTATAAAAAGGAATTTTACATTTAAAGTTCTTCCATAAAGAGGCTACCTTTAAAATGATCATTACATTAAGACATACACATACATTACAAAAAACAAACGAACAACACAAGATAAAATTGTTCTGAACATTTTGGAATAAAATTTTAAGTTTACATTTGTTCCCCAGTCCATTGTTATGTATGTCTTGCGTCACTATGGACTGGGTAAAATTACAAGACCTCTCCCACAGTTCTTAAAACCTAATAATCCACACTTGCATTCACATTCCACTCATTCCACTTGTTTAAACTAAAGCAACAAAGGAGTTCAAGAAATTGTTACTTGAAGTAATTAGATATTCATTATATGAACACATCAGCTTGTTCAATCAAAATCGTCAAAATCATCGTCACTGTCTATAATGTATTTGGCAGCAGTCCTTTTTCTACCACTAGATGGTTTAGGTTCTACGGATCCAATATCAAAATCATCATCTGAATCTGCCTTCTTTCTTCCCTGAAAAAGGAAATGGTATTATAATTCATACAAATTCAAAAATAAACTTAAGATAATAATGGTGTTTAAGAATGGGAAACAACACTGCTCAGCGACTAATTATGGTAACATGTTTTTACGATCCCGCATTTTACGTTTCCTGTTTCCTGACTTCCATGTAAGTTTTTGTTGGTCCTATTGTAAAGACTATACAGTTGACTCCGATTATAGTGAACTTCTGGGGACTAACATTTTTGGTTAACATGAACAGTGGCGGGTGTTGCCAGGATGTGGACCTGAGGCAGTTGAGTGTTTCCTGTCACTTACATAGAACACTGCATACTTTGTACCGCCAAGTCTCAAGTAACAAGAGATCTCGCAAAAGTAACCGCCAAATCTCAAGCTTGGAATTGATGCAAGCCATAGTGCGTTGCTGCTGCCCAAGCTTTCATTTCTGCAGTGACACTGAATGACAAGGTCATCCGTGAAATCCCGCATTCTGTGTCTGTTACCTTCACCACAGAGGAGATCTTTGATTACAACCTTTGGCCAATGATGGTGATGAGCTGAGGTTCAAAGTTCACTATAACCGAATCTTCATGTGCTTATTTGTAATGTAAGTGAAATGGGACCAGTGATTTCAGTTCAGTATAACCGTAACAGTATGCATTGCATTCTCTTCCCAGAATTTACAACTTGATATGAAGAATGTTTCGTCTTTTAGTCTTCTTTCTCTTAATTTTTACTTTCTTATATACGTATGTATACAGTACAGAGTATACGTAGCGAAGAGAAAGTATTATAATCGAGCACTGGAAAACTGACTTCTTGACAGAAAAACACCTACTGATATAGAAAAGTAGATAAATCATGTTCCAAAATGTAATAAATTAATACACAAGAACTACATATGTATATAGTAAACTTGCAAGCCTCGAGTTCGTTTATATCAATCAGGGAAAATCAATATGGAGCAAATTGGCTGAACAATTTAGGCTCTACCATTAACCACAATTTATCAAACTGATGCTTTGCAGTCAATCGATTTTTTGCATATCATGGATTCTAGCTATATCACATGTTAGAGGAAGTACTTTATTATAATAAGAACATCATTGATTCAGTTTTTCGTTACCAGGGCTTGTCAATAAGACTTTTTCTGTTGAAAATTCACTGTTTTCTAGTACACAATTATAATATCTTTTCGCAGCGAGCGAGCGTTCTTACAAAAGCAAGCTGCAGTTGCCGTAAATAATATAAGTACCGCCTAGTCTGTAGTTTTTTAACTTTCCTGCACTTTACACTTTTTTCCACCGGTTACCTGAAAAGTGTAAAAAACGTGAAAAGTAAGTTTTACACCTGAAAAGTGTAAAACTGACTTTCAACTAGCAAAATAAAATTTTAGAACAAGCGAACACGAAATTATTTCATAAAGATTCATAATTAATTAATTTATTTACCACATACATTAACACGCAGAACAATCTTCATAATTTTCACGATAAAAGAAAGCTACACATTAGAAAGAAATATAAAATTTAAAATTCCAATTTGGTTCGAATGTTTTTTAAATGTGTGATTGCTGGGAGCATTGACAACAGCAGCAAGTAGGCGATGCCAGTGATCAATGACTCAGTTCAACAGGAAAAAACGTACATGGATTACGCAAACAATTCCTTTTGTTCAATTTGTAAATGCGACCAGGAAGGTAGAAATTGGTATTGTGGAGGAACAAATCATTTAACCCGGGCAGTTGTAACTGTTAAGTACGTTGTATGTTTCAATGAGATATCTCTGCAAAATCCAGTCATTGGCTGGTCCAAAATCCAGTCATTAGGTGGAGTGTTTCAAGTCTCTCGGGTTATGACAACCAATAGATTTTATTACATTTATCTCCAGTTTTAATATTAAAGGTGTATTGAAAGAAAGATTCAATATAAAAGGCACTATAACAAATTATCAGAGATGAGCACTTTGCTATACTTGAAGAAGAAAAAGAAAGAAAGAAAGAAAGAAGAGGAAGGAAGAAAAGAAAGAAAGAAGAGGAAGGAAGGAAAGAAAGAAAGAAGAAGAGGAAGGAAGGAAAGAAAGAAGAAGAGGAAGGAAGGAAAGAAAGAAGAAGAGGAAGGAAGGAAGGAAAGAAGAAGAGGAAGGAAAGAAAGAAAGAAAGAAGAAGAGGAAGGAAGGAAAGAAAAGAAGAGGAAGGAAAGAAAGAAGAAGAGGAAGGAAGGAAGGAAAGAAAGAAGAAGAGGAAGGAAGGAAAGAAAGAAGAAGAGGAAGGAAGGAAAGAAAGAAGAGGAAGGAAAGGAGGAAAGAAAGAAGGAAGAAGAAGCAAACAATTAGAGAAAATTTTGGAAACGGGACTTCCTGTATAATATCCATAAAAATTAATAGGTGTTATTTCAAATTGAAGGGCCACGAGTGCCAAACCTTGATTGTTTTGAAAAATTATAATTTTTTATGAATGGTTCAGGTACTAGTGTTCTCCATTGACTGACATTTTTTGAAACAATTCACGTTAATGTCACCCACGCTTCCCCAATCACGACACTGATTTTTTTGCAGCATAACTATACTTTCTGTTATTCCTGTATCTATCTAATCTGGGTCTCATATCTATCAATCTATCTATCTATAAGAAAGTAAAAAGAATTTTTATCTTTTCCAGTTCAATCATCAATTTTTTTGAAAACATTCCAAATGTAGATAAAGCAATCAACTCCCCAAAATTGCACTGAAACTGAGCCCATAAATTACCTAATCAAGTTCTTAAAACACATAATGGAACTTATTGATCATTACATTGTAAATGTAAGTAGAATATCAGCTTGTTGCGTCTGCCTTTATATGAAAAAACAATAGCTTATTATTAGTGTGGAACCATAGGGGGAGGGATTCATATAATTACCCAAGCTGTTGAATATGATATCGATGTAATCGAGGTTTCTTCCTTTTGTTCACGTGAACTCAGCTTGCAAACTTTAGGTTTGGACTGTTCTTACCATTATGTACTATAACTATGTTACTAATGTGCATGATCAGGGCATTATAACTCCCACATAACGTGATGGAATCCATTAACTAGCATGCTCTGCTGCAGCACCTTCTTACACGAACTGCTGCCAACGATACTTAAAATGTGTGTGACTACTGTGTGAGTTTGCGGGTTGCAAACAGGCCGATAATATTACAAAAGATAGCGTCTATGTTCACGCTATTCAGGGGTTTCTTATGAGTGTATTATGAATAATTGACCGTTTAAAAGACATATATTATTTCTCACAAATTAGCCAATTTGTATGTGCAGAAGCTAGAGATCCTAACCTGCAGCTGTATCTGGCAACACTAGCACCTCCAAGAGTAGCACTCTCAAGCTTTGTCCCCTGTTTAAATGTAGAGTTGCAAGGCCCTCGGCATGATGATGGGCAGAACAGGATAAATCCACTAACTTATGTCACGGTACCGAATCATTAAACAAAAATGTGTTCTCTTTCTTACAAACCTAATGACTGTACTAATTACTAAAAGTAGTCATTTGAATGACAACACATTAAAACTATAAATTCATTATTATTAAAACTGATGAGTGGGAAAGGGGTAGATATTCAATTAAAGGTTGTAGCTACCTTTTTGGAAAACTTTTCGGAAAATTCATCAGAATCAGAATCATCTTTCTTCTTTGGCCGCTTTGCAGCAGGTTTCTTAACAGCAGGTGCTTTCTTCGCAGGAGCTGTACAGAATTAAACTTGTGAAAATCCACATTTCAAATATATTTCTAATGTTAATAACATATTATACATTTGATATCCCAACAACTTTCATCTGAATATTTCTGCTTGTTACGGATTTTAGTCCAGTTATAAAAAAACTTACCAAGTTTGTAAGAAGTGTTTGTTTGAAGAAATTGTAATTGAAGTATAACAACATTTGAAATAAGAGAATTCAATAACACAGTTTATTATTATTATTCCATTCATATTTTAAAATAGTCTCATTCATCATTATCTTTCTAACTAAACACCACATCAACAATTGAGAAACGTAAATGTACAAGAATAATTATTTGCAAAACAATGGAGGAAGACTGAAAAAAATTTGAACAGTCGAACATCATTTATAACAAGTACATCTGCTATGTAGCTATGGGGTTACAATAGTGGATGGCAATTGTGAAATGAAAAGTATAACAATCACAGGAGGACCCTAACTTCTAAAGGCTGTTCACAGAGAGTTGACTGATACGATAGCACAAGTGGTTAGAGCAACTAGCTATATCCTGGGGAATAGGGTTTGTGTGCCAGGTGGAATAGTTAATTATTAGTTAATCATTGTTATTATCATTATTGACTAGATTACAAGATTAGTAGTCTGATGTTGGGACAGTAATAAGGTGAATTCGAAATTTTGTGAAAAAGTGTTTTTAATTTTCCCCCCCCTTGTTTAGTAGTGAGGTGAAAGAGAAGTGTATTGCGCATGCGCGAGCGACAGACACAAACAACCAGTGTGAAAGGTAGAGCGTCAGGGAGAGAGAGGGAGAGCGGCAGGGGGAGAGAGGGAGAGAGGGAGAGGGAGAGGAAGGGAGGGAGAGAGGGAGAGGAAGGGAGGGGGAGAGGGAGAGGAAGGGAGGGAGAGAGCTATGAACTATGCCAGATATTCTTCTCTTGGTCCACCGACTTGCGGTTAGCCTTCCACCTTCTCTGTCATCACTTTTATATGGGGCCCATAGCTGAGTATATGGTCTATTTCAACTCCTAAATATCTTATCTGGCGCTTCCAGTTGATTCTCTCCCCTCCCAATCGGAGGTCTGGGGAGTGAAAGGCCCTCCGGTCGGTGATTAAGACAGCTTCGGTTTTATGCAGTACCATCTGTAGCTGTCGTCAAACGAACCATCTTTTAACCCCAAACAGAGTTTCATTCACTCTCAATTCAAGGAGATTAATGTCATCGCTGTGGCTCATTATTAGTGTATCATCGGCATAGCTTTTGAGCGGCGTATTATTCGGCAAGTCAATGCTTAAAATGTCATCATACAGGACATTCAATAAAAATGGTCCTAGTCTGGACCCTTGAGGAACACTGCACATCATGTTCTCTTCTCTCCTGATACTGTCCACATACGTTATCGCCCTTTCATAATAATAACAATAATAATAATTACTACTATTACTAACAACTGAATGCGGTGTTGCTGAAGCTGGTAGCCAGGCGAGCTGGGGCTGGTGGGGCTGGTGGGGCTGGGGCTGGGGCTGGGCAGGATGGCAGGCATCTAGGCAGGTTTTCTTTCTTTGCTACAGTCCTTTTTTTTAGTTTAGCTATTTTATCACAGTTGTGAACTAACCACATAAATTTTGCAATTATTTTGTGATATTGGGAACGATTTCTACCTTTGTCTTTCCAGAACTTAGGGAATACAAAATTGTTTGCAAAGGTTTTGCAACATTTCCTTTTTCTAGAGTTGTTTTGAAACGTTTTTCTTTCAATTTGTCGTAATACATATTTTTAAAATCAATCTGCAAACCACAGGACGTCAGCCTAAATGTATTTATCTGTTGCACCTCTGCGTCACGTGCTTATCCTGATTTATCATATAAAAGTGATCTTCTTGATATTATTTGAACACAACCGCAGCCAAACCGCAACAATCAGCTCGTTGAAACTGCTAAGCTCTTGTCAGAGTTATGCACCATGGCCGTCTGATCTAGGGAACTCAATAGGCCCTCCACTTACTTAGTTCATTTTCTGTGAAAGAAAATTCTTTGTTTTTGCATTCTCTTTTCTCTTCGCCTCCACCTACGTCTTTCTCTTCGCCTCCACCTACATCTATTATTCTCTAGAATCTCTAAATATTAATTCTCTAGAATTGACGCAATTGCGTTGCCATCAAATGGCTTTGGAAGGAATAAAGAAACATTTTTGGACATGCAAAACTTATAACATGTTATAGGAAACAACATTGATTAGTTTTGAACATGTAATGTTTCAGAATAAAACATAATTTTTAAATGTAAAAGTAGATCCTACATCACATAATTGTTTTACTGAATGATCACACACATTTTAACAAGAAATATGTATTTAAATTATTAGATAATATTAGAATTCATTTACTTATCCTTTTATGAAGAAAGTAAATTTTTTAAAATAAAAATACAAAATACAAATAGTAAAATTTTAAAATATTACCCAAACATACCAGCCTATTGACTACTATCGTCTGTTGCTTCCAATAAAACGCAATACACTTCATATAAAACTTCAATTTTTGATCGGAAAGCGGTTGTGTGGACGTTTAATGGACTGCGCACAAACATTTGCTGTAGGTCTTGCTCGACTTCAAGGACTCCACATTTGCAGGTTAGAAAAGTGAACATTAAACAGTGATAAAAGTGTAATGTGACCAAAAATGTCATATTAAGAGGCCATCTGGTGAGAGAAGACTTTCCAACCTTCATTGAAGCGCACTCTAGCAATGCATACAGAATTTAAATAATCAATTTTGTTAGTTCCGATGTAGAGGGCACTGAACCAGGCAATAACATTTCGTGTCGTCACAAAATCCCAATCTAATAGAAATGCGAGACCAGCTATCTAGAACAACTCCAAAATAACAAGTTAGTATGCTGAACCAACAGACACTGGCAAAATCACCTCAGAAATAATTTGGGCCCCGGAAAAAGGCATTATAGGAATGGGAATGGCCCCTTGTCAACACACCCAGAGGCTACAAGCAAAAGCCCGGTTGCATGAGCCGACACCTCACGAGACCCTTAGGCTTAGGGTTAAAAATAATTATTCTTATATTGCAGTTTACATATAAGACATAACTTCCCTCCACATCCCCAATTTCACAGTTTAGTTTCTAGCAGCAAAAAGAGATCAGACATTATATTATGAGGCATCCCAGAACTGTTTTCGCCTCAATATAGTATGATCTTCATTAGTATCTTACATTCAAACCTGTGAAATAAATTAAATGGATAGATGCTAACCTTTCTTCTTTGAGGAGGGGTCATTTGCAGGTTTTGCCTTTTCAACAATGTCTGTATTTTCTGCGGCAAGAAGACTATCAAACATAGCATCTGAAAAAATTAAATAATATTCACATATCCACACAATGCACCAACAATCAAAAAATGGAATCAACCCATACCTGATCCGCCAGAATTTCTAGGCTCTGTACTTTCAGGCTCAAATTCACTGTCTGTCCCACTGATAACTCTGAAAACAATATTTTATATTATACACAAAAACAAACATTAATTGCTTTCGAATAATTTAGTACATAAAACTTTGATATTTTACGAACATTGATTCCTCTGTTTTGTCTTCAACAGGAGCAGATGGCTTAGCAGGAGCAGTAGCAGAAGATTTTGAGACAGGTGCACTATCATCGTCATCATTCCACTCTGCTTCCGATTCATCAGAAAAGTGATATTTCACCTTTGATGCTGTAATAAAAAGCAAATGCACTAATATTCACAAAATTGACCAATAATTTACATTTAGTTACCAATAAGTTCTATGTCCTTTCTAAAACTAGTTAGTTTTCAAATATCTTTAGACCCAGCTAACTTTTCAGTATTTCCCTACCATCTTCCTAGCTGCTTCTTATTGAAAACAAAAAATTTTTTTTTCTTCAATTTTCTTAACTTTTCGCTAGGGGGTTTTATCCAAATTTTAATTGACAAATTTGAAGCCATTTTTACGAAAATGCCATTTGAGTGTTTTTTGACAAGTGCCAATTTGAGCTAATGTTCACAGAAAATTTTCTAGTTCTCGAGAAACTTCATAAGAAAGCATGTGTGCTAATAAATGCAAGAATCTATATATTAAGAGATAACTTTGGACTCATTTTGAAGAATATTACATGAGCTGAGGATTTGGTAGAGGTGAAGTTTATATAGATAAAGAGTGGCAAAGCTAAAATGTGTGTGTTACAAATATATTAAATTTACTATAATAATGTAGCCCGTAATTGCAATCTGTAACATCACACAAAACTTGAAAATGATTGACCATGCATTTTAGAGCTTTAAATCTTATTAGACCGAACTTCCTCTGGTAGATATCTGTAATAAGGCAAACTTTCCTTTATCAGGTTCGGTATTTTGTCATGAGCTTGCTGAATGATTTTGGCCACATTATTATGATGTAAATTATCTGTTTGTTGTAACTGAGAACATGATGTGTAGAGTAGATTCGGTGGTCTTCTTACACAGGCGACACTTGGCACTGATACTCTCTTGATACATCGCCTGTAGTTATTAGTAGTTACTATGTGATCTTGAATGGCCAGCACAAATCTTTCCGTCTCACCAAAATGACGAGCAGTTCTCAACTATTTGGTTGATCTCTTAATGTCGATGGGGTTACGTCGAAGTGCTGTAGCAAATTTGCCATGGAATTCCTTTGACCTGCACTGTTTAATTCAGTCCTCAGATTTTGGAAAATTTGGGTTGTAGTGTTCTTGGAGCAGCTTAAGAGGTATAAAGCTGTGATCTTGGGCACAGATGGCTGTCATGGATTCGTTGTTGATGAAATAATTTCTGAGCTGTTTTTCTAGCTGGTAGCACATAACTTCAAGACTTAACAGTCCACATAGTTCATGGTGTCTTGAAAGATATAGCCTTTTGATGGAACTTCGAGAATGATGCATCAGATATTTTGACAGAAGTAATCTAACTTTTCTACTGAAAGCTTGCAAACATATCTCAGACCACTTGACAACTCCTATGTATGTGATGCTGCTGAGAAGGCCCAGGTATTAATTCCTGTAAATTTGTTTCTCAAATTAATACAGGATTTGCAGATTTTCGTAACATGAGAGAAAACCTTTCTTTCCACATGTCTTCTTATTTTCTCATCTGCAGTCCCAATAAGATGAAAACTGCATTGCAATAACTTTAACCGATCAAAAGTTACAGAAGGAACTAAAATGACATGACTCAACCTGTATATCTCACATAGTTGTGTAGAAAAATAGAATACTTTGGTGGCTACTGAGGTACAGGTTTTGAAATGCTGTAGAAATAAAAATATAAATTACAGAAAGATAAAAAAATAATTTAAGTTATGCAATGTCAAGGGGTTCATTTCTTGGTTCGTCATCCTAACACAAGCTACTTTGAAAGTTCGAACACTCGGTGAGATAACAATTTCTTCCGGTAGATGATTCCAAAACTCTAAAATTCTTTTGGATAGAAAATTTTGTTTTTGGAGTCGATTCATTTTGGCTTTGGTAAGTTTAAAACTGTGACCACTCAAGTGGGCATTTCAAAATCAGATAAAGATGTCTTCTAATTCATGATATCAGTGAAACCTCCTCACAACCTTGAACATTTCAATGAGGTCTGCAGGAAGACATCTCTCACTGAAAGGAGACTGATTCAATTGTCTAAGACAAGCATTGTACGGGAGTTCTCAGACATGGTACCATTTTTTTTAAAATTTATTTATATACATATAATTACAGGCAATCGCCCAATTATTAAATATCATTTACATTACAGTATTAGAGAGGAGATAAAATATTGTATTTCTTTCATAGTGGATATTTGGGGGGAAAAAACCCCAAAAACACACAAAAAAAAAAAGGGGAGGGCAAAAAAAAAGGGGATGGGGGAAAAATTTTCCCCTTATCCAAAACAAGAAACCTAAGTTTTGGGAAAGTTCCCCCGTGAAAATTTTAATTTAATTTTTTTGGGTGAAATAACGAAAGTTCCATTTGGAATCGAAAATATAAGTCTAACACTTTGTCAATTAACATTTTACTACGTTGTTAATTTTGATTCACGTTCAAGTAATTCATAGTATTTTTGAGTAGATTACCAATCTGATAAGTGATATCAAAGTACAAGTTGAAACATTATTATACAGTAATGTAATTTTCCTGTAGTCAATTCATATCTGGGTAATTAAAATCACCAGTTATTGAAGGAGAATAAAAGGTTCTCAACAGTTGTATTATCAATGAAAATCAATAAACTCGTATATTTACGATTTACTCGGATCAGGACTCCACCACCACGTTCGTAAGCGCTTGTATGGATTTGTCTAGATATATATATATATATATATATATATATATATATATATATATATATATATTATATATATATATATATATATATATATATATATATGTAAATTATCATATACTACTCTGTATGCATATATGCTTACAAGATATAAGAATGATCAAAATACTGGAATATTTTGGCTGTACATAGTGCCCCGTTTCAATTAGCAGTTATTTACTCATACATTATTTCCCTTTAGTCCCTGAAAAAACATGTAAAATGACTGATTTACTTTAGCATTGCATCTTGAACACTGAACGAGCAGGAGGAGAGGGGAGGCAGGCAGAAGAAAGAAAATCAAGCTCACCCGCCTGCTCTTCGAGAGCTTGCTCGTTCAGGTGGAGTAGTAAAAGCATCTTCCGCGCATCTGAATCACTTTCCGGAGCCACTTTCAGGGAAAGTGCTCCTTATCTTTTTCTTAGGTGTCTCTTCTTAAGAACTAGTTTTGATTGTTGAGATCTGAATGATAATCAATGAAGTTGAAATGAAGACAAATAAATGAAAAAAACTGGAAAACATAATGAAATTATAAGAAAGGATGAAAAAGAACAGAAACCAATTAAAAAAGAGAGCGAAAGCATGGGAGAGAGAGAGGGGGGGGCGCGAAAGCGGAGAGAGAGAGGGGGCGCGAAAGGGAGGGAGGGGGAGTGAGAAAGCGGGAGGGAGGGGGAGTGAAGAAAGCGGGAAGGGAGGGGGAGTGAGAAAGCGGGAGGGAGGGGGAGTGAGAAAGCGGGAAGGAGGGGAGAGAGAAAGCGGGAGGAGGGGGAGAGAGAAAGGGAACGGGGGGGAGAGAGAAAGGGGAACGGAGGGGGGAGAGAGAAGAGCGGAACGGAGGGGAGAGAGAAAGCGGAACGGGAGGGGAGAGAGAAAGCGGAACGGAGGGGGAGGAGAAGCGGGAGGGGAGGGGGAGAGAGGAAGCGGGGAGGGAGGGGGAGAGAGGAAGCGGGAGGGAGGGGGAGAGAGGTAAGCGGGAGGAGAAGGGGGAGAGAGGAGCGGGAGGGAGGGGGGGA